AAGACTTTAGACAGTTTTTCAACTCTCAGTAATGCCACAGTGATCATTTGATATATGGACCTGCAGCGGAGTTTAGACCCAGACACGGCTAGTGACGTCAGACTGAACAACCGATTTTATTCCACCAGAGCTACCGAAGAACGCATATGTTTACCTTATGTTGCATACTTTTGTGTTATTTTATTAATACTATTTGTTGGACAACGCTGCTTGAGCCCATCTGTATCTTATAAGTGTATCACAAATTGAAGTAGAAGAGTAAAATAGGCCCTAAACGAGGTAAAAGTTCTTCTATTTACCAATGAATAGACTTACAGAGCTTCCTTTAAACACATGAGTGAGGGCTTCTCTTTATGAGAAACCTACTAGACAAATATCTAAGAGCAAAGATTCCTAACGCAAAACTGAGCCCTATCGGTACTAGAACACCAGGCACAGACACTGTTGTTACGGTGTGATTCTGTAGGTGCAAAATACGATGTCAGAAATAATGGAAATATTTAAAAATATTCATTTATAATATATTTAAATACATGTACAGCCAATGTATCAACTGAAACCCTTTGAAAGTTATACTTTAAAAGTATAAAAAGGGCATTTTTAGCGCAGTGCATGCCGGATATGCAAATACTTTAAAAGTGGCCCGAGTGTTCACCAATCACAACGTTTTTTGAACAAGCCGTCAATGAGTGGGTGGGCGGGATTGGCGTCGTCACAGCCAATCAAATGGTTGACCGTCATGACTGAGTAACAGAAGCGAGATACTTATGATTGGAAAAAATAAGGTACCGTAGGTCTGATCATTTAGAGGATTCAGGTGAAATAAAGGCTAATACTATTCATATCAATGCTGAAATTTGATCGAAACAAGACTACTTAAATGTAATAACTGCCTCTTTCGGATGCTCCCTTTAGATGTCGCTAAAGCGTACCATCTGCATTCATCTCACCGTATTTCGACCACCCACTCTACATCACACTAACCTTGTGCATGTCCTCATTCACTACATCCATGAACTTCCTTTGTTGTTAACGAGTATCTTAAACGAGTAGATAAACAGAAAATCCCTACATGTTTTTTTGCAACTGTTTATTTATATTTTTGTTAGCTGTAGTTGTGTTACATATAGGTAAGGTGCATCGTTTCCCGATATTCCTGCACAGCCCTAAATACATATACTTAAGAAAAGCTAACAATAAAACTATTTAAGGAATAAAAACGAACACACTCTGGAAACTAACTCAGAAAAACATGAAAAAATAAATAAGAAAAAATAACATCTTTTCTTTAATTAGAAGGAGTGAAAATAACACAAGGCTGTCGATTGCTTCACTTCATATCTGTTGTCCTCACTAACGGGTTCATCCAGGAAAAAGCTACTTTTCCCGCACGGCACTTGAACGCAGCATGACATTCTCCTCTTCCTCTTCCTCAAAATGAGGCAGAAACGCGTTTTACGGGCGTACCAGCGTGAACCAATGGTGCTGAGGGGGAGGAGGGGTTAGACCTTCACGCTAATAAATACCCCGAGCTGCTCATTAACGTCCGCTCTCTTACCCCAGACTAGAAGGACCCCCAGTGGACTTTCAGTACCGTTTCACTCTTTGGCTAACGTCCCCCCAAAATCGCAAACATGACCAGAAAATTCTTCGTTGGTGGAAACTGGAAGATGAACGGCGACAAGAAAAGCCTCGGGGAGCTCATCCAGACCATGAACGGAGGCAAGGTGGACTCAAATGTCGGTATGTGGCTTCTTCTGACACCATCACC